AAATAAAATCTCAAGGGGCCACTATGTGCCATTTTTTAGTGGCGCCCTCTAACGTAATGTCATCGAATTACGCTTAGACAACCATAAAATGCTTCAATTTTGTTTAACCTCTGAAATTTGGTATATTATATATGCTATTGTAGAACATAGCCTTAAGAATATTAATTAATTTTATAATGACACGCGAACAGAGCCACATGCGAAAGCTAGACTTTTAAACAACTTAATTCGTTTTATTGAATTTATTTTCGTTGTATAAACTTTCCGATACTACAATGAATATAATTCTTCAACAAGAAAGGTCTGTAAATAATATAATTCAAGTAGAGTTTACAAAAGGGATCGCGTCCATTCGTCTTATTATATTCTGTCACGTATCACGTGTATTGCATCACGTACTTATTGTTATGAACACGTTTATCTAGCGCAAGCAGCTAACTTTGTTATGTATAAGAAACTAGCTGTTGCCCGCGACTCCGTCCGCGTGGATATATAATAAACTTAATTAGCGTAGGCCATCCATCCATTCACATCACATCCATCTAAACATTCGCATTTATAACATTAGTAAGTAAATTAAAAAGTAGCTCTTCAAGGCATGAATTCGAAAAAAAATGAATAAATAGTATCCTATGTCCGTGTACTGGCTCTAAGCTACCTCCTCACCAATTTTCAGCCATATCGGTAAAGCCGTTTTTGAGTTATAAATAGTGTAACTAACACGACTTTCTTTTATATATATATATGGATAGAAGATAGAGTTATGATTAAATTTTATTTCAAAACTAGCTTTCGACAGCGACTTATGTTTTCTTCCAGACTATGTTCTATTGTCTATTCCCAAGGAAGTGACTTATGTGACAACATGGTAAGAACGGAAAAAAGACTTTAACCTCGTACTTTCGTCATTTCATTTTAATCAGCGTCATTTTACTTTCTACCGATTGTACAATATATAAAATCTAGTTATCGCACGCGACTCCGTCAGCGCGGAAATAGAAACGAACTTGATACGTAGCCTATGTGTTCTTCCAGACTATGTTCTACATCTATGCCAAATTTCAGCGAGATCCGCTAAGCCGTTCTGGAGAAACCTTCAAACAAACATCCATCTAAACATTCGCATTTATAATATTAGTAAGAAGTAAGAAATAATTTCCACCGGTGTCATTTGACTTTATATCAATAGTTAAAAATTGTGCAAACTGGTAATTAGGGACTTTATTTTTGTAAATTAAATTAATGAATTGTTAATCTGCCCTTAATATCGGTGTAGAGTCTTCCCTAACGACTTAATGATTCATGATATCAGCTCACGTTGCTCTGACCTCGATAATGACGTCATTAAAATCCCTTTTACGTTATACGAGGCTCCATTAAATTATACGAAATAATATTTCATGAATCTACTTAGTAAAATTTTTAATGAAAATTAGATATCGTTTTATTAAAATGTATTTTTTATGTATTTATGTTAATTAGGAAAATTAGGAAGCTTGGAAATGAATGTAAAAATTCTTTTCTTCGACATAGCTCGCCTTTATTCTTTGAATTGTGAACATAATTTTTATCTTCTTACCGATATTATAAAATCTCATAAAATAACTAATACTCGTGCTAAGTGACCCTTTGTGTAGAGTTTTTGGTACTAAATCTAAACTTATAGGACCACTTGACACACTTGAGCAGTCAGAGTAAGTAATAGTAACAATCTCTAGTAAGTTCCTTTAAATTACTCATAGAGCTAGTATTTACGCTGTACTAGCTGTTGCCCGCGACATCGTTCGCGAGGAATTAAAAAAACGACATAATAAGTAACCTTCCTGTTCTTCCAGGCTATGTTCTATATGTATATAAAATTTCATCGAGATCCATTTTGCCATTCTGGAGATACTTTCAAACAAACATCCATCAATCTATCCATCCATCCTTCCAAACATTCGCATTTATACTATAAGTAAGGTTATTTAAAACGGAAATATATTTTAACGATGTTTAAGGTATGATTTTGTTCTTTCTAGAAATGTCTTGTCAAATATAAAGTTATATTTAAAATTCTTTCGATGTTTCGAAATGTTTCAGCCACTTGGTACGGTTCCAGCGCATTTTAGAATTGGTTATGTAAACAACTTCTAAGCCAGTATTGCTTTGCTTGTAACTCGGCTTTATAAAATAAAATGTACATCAAATTGCTTTTTAGTTTTGGAGAAACGATTCGATTTTTCATATTATTTAGTTTGGTTTAGTTTTAGTATATAGTTTATTTGATATAATATAAATTATTAGCTTATGTCTTAGTTTAAATATATATAAATATTAGTTTTAGTTATATTGTAGCTTTTTATTGTTATGGAGAAATAAAATTGAATGTTACAAGATATTTATTTTTATTTAATATTATGATTATGATATAGCGGCAATTGATTTTTAGGATATTTAGAATAAATTTTAAAAAGTTTAAGGAAAAGGGAGGACGAAGTCAAAGGCTACATCTAGTATATTATAAAATTGATTAATTAATAATTTCATTTATTTTAATTCTAAATAAATAAAGTAAATGAAATTAATCATTTTAATTTAGTATCATACATTTTATTATTATATTATAATAATTTTCCGAAACTTTTCCCCACATTTTTTTTTTTATCTTTATCTAATTTCACTATTATTATGAATATTTCCTAGTAATGATAAGATTTCAAGCTTTAAAAGTTTTCATAAGAGGAGGAAACCTGTCATCGTTTTTCCGTATTTTATCAAAGGAATTTCATTCATTAGAAAATCTTTCATACTAGCGAGTTTACTCACTGCGTTTCTCAAAAGAAATACGGGTCTGTTAGAAAAGAGAATCTCGCACGAGAAAAACTCATTCATCGCATACTATTTAATAAATGTAAAATGTGTTTTAAAGACGAATTACAGTTAAATATAGATTAGAAAATATCAAGGGTAATTGAAAGGTGCTTATTTATGCTATGGTTTGCTAAATGTGACGATCAGTTGTCGATTTTAAAAGAAGCTATAACTGCTTCTTTTTACGTTGAACAATTTTTTTTCCCTTTTACCTTTCCTTTTCCTTCGTTCTTTACAAGAGAAAGGGACTTCACGGACACACATTTATCAGAAAAGCGGAATTACTTTTGCATAATGTCTTTTTTGTGGTCGTGGTATTGTACCGGTAGAGCTGGCCATCTGTGTACTATCATTGTTGAATATTCTTTCATCATCAGGTCATACGGCTCCACCGAGGGGTTAGGAGCCTACCCTAAGTTAGGGGTGACTAGGCCATAGTCAACCACGTTGGCCATGTGCGGTAGGTTGTTTAATTATCTAACTGCTTATTAATTAATAAAGAGGAAATTAATTGAGTAATAGATTATTCCTCTAGGGTTATTCCAATTAACTCTGAAGTTTATATCAATGGATATAATTCCCGTGTTTCAACTCACAGCTACGACTCATATGTCAACTGTCAATTTTCCGTTAATCTTAGGGTAATCGAATAATTCAATTATAGCACGAACATTTATTAAGGTGGATGAGACTGTTATTTTGTAGTTTTATATGAAGTGATTAATGTATACATATTTTTGGGACACCTGTATACTCGTTGTATACATCTAGGACATCTGTATACTTATACGTCATTTTGTTATTCGTATGTTTTAATAAAACAATTTGTTTAACCAAAAATGTTTATTAATATGATTTAATGTTACATTACTACATATAATAATATAATGATTTTCTGAGACCAAAATCTCTTTATAAATATATCGTCATCCTTGTCATGATCTTTGGTAGAACAGAGATAACAATATGTTTTAAACGGAGATTTTGGTGTCAGAAAAATTTAGTTATTTGTCTAAACTTTATCCTAAGGTATAAAATAAGGCTAGATTGTGAAATGTGAAGACAACATACTTCAAGGCAGTTTTTCCTTACCGTGTCGTGTCGTGCGAAGGTTTTACAATTATCTATATACCTATTATATACAACAGTTTTATTATATAACATCTAAAATGTATCTAAAATCTTAGGATTGGTCGAAATATACAAGTAAGGTAAAGCGTATCATTTTCGATTGCAAGCAAGAATTACAATTTTAGGATTTCGATATTGTATTTTTTAATATAATTAAGCTCTCATAATGATTGCTTAGTAGTAACTTATTACTATGACAACACTTGGTTGGTATTCAACAGGTAATTTTTACATCAAATTTGTTATTGTTGCTATTTGAAAAGTAAATGAAACAATTTAGATCAGAGAGCCAGAAGACTTCAAAGAATCTCACTTAATGAGAGAAAAATTGATTTCGAGGCGACTGCCTCACCCCAAAAGGATATATATATTGTGTAACACTGTTTAATTATAAATTAGAATTTTAATAAGTGCATTTCCGAACACATCTTAAATGTAAACTCATTTATTAATCAATTGTGATGATTTATATTCTTCATGCTAGAATAATGCTACAACTATCACCTTTATTTGCCTAATTCTAGTTAAAATAATATTAATTATATTTGATTCTTCTATCACAAATGCTATAGTACTTTTCTTCACCAGGGATCTAATAATAGGGAAACATATCATTTTTCGCAAGTAAACTTCGATACTTCAATTCGTGTGAGTTTAATTTAGAATTTAAAATGACGTTAAATTATTCAAACTTTCGTGAGACATTATACTAAACTGATATATAAACACGTCTAAACACCCACGTATATTCGTCCGGTGGCGGCACCGACTAGTTTCGAGCCCATCGGGGGCCCTCCACTAGTCGGTAGTAACTAGTCGGTGCCGCCACCGGACGAATATACGTGAGTGTTTAGCCGTGTTTATATATCAGTTTAAAATGATGTCTCTAATTTTTAATTTATTCAGAATAGTAACATAATTTTTCTACATCGTTATCACAATAAAAAACATCAGTTGTAAAAGTATTGGCAAGTCATTTTATCTGCATAATTAAGAACTTCATTTATTATATGATGTACATGTTTTTTTTATCTCTGACTATCCCTCTGGTCTAAGGAAGTTTCGTTGTTGTATTATAAAAGATTTATTATTAATTAATTCTATACTATCACGGAATGTCTGTTTGTCTTCTTGTCCGGTGCATAAGGTTCTAATTTGGCTGGTTCTGTGTTCAACGCGCTGTAGTCTACGGGGAAAGGTGGCTGTGGTAACGAGCCTTTGGGTGGTACTAACACCCACTGTCCTGGGCCGTTGGGGTTTTTACCCATTAACCAATTGGTGAAGCAGTGGACAAAGGTGCCGTAGTCTAAGATCAGGTAGCCGTTCTGTAAAGAATCGTTATAACTGAACAATGAATTACATTTTGACAATCCTTTTTTCTTTGAAAAAAATAGAGATAGAATTTTGTATACAAGTGTCATTCCATTTGAAATTAACGGTTAAAAGGGTACATTATCATGAATTTACAAACGTATTTTTATTTAAGTTGATGTCTGTTAGATTAATTATTTCTCTCCTGTATCTTAAGAACTTTAAAATACAGTAAAATCTTATAGTTATTTTTAAGTCCCTGTCTATTGTATTTTGTAACTTACACTAGTCATGCGGTCGTAGGCAGTGTCAATGATCTCATCGATTCGTGTCGCCGGCAAGCCGATGACAGAGCGGTAGAACGCTGCCAGAGATTGTTTTGTTATTGCACCCGTACCTGGAACAGAATTGAAATATTTTCAATAAGTGCCTTCACCTGCTGTGACGTCATGAAATAAAGACGCATAATTAAAAAAAAACTAAAAGAAAAACAATTGCCTCTACCACTTTGATTCTATTCTATCTCTCTCTGTACCTATTAAATCTAGCGATCTCTTTAAATAGATAGGCGATTGCTTGGAAATGACAGCTTTTGTTTCGTTCAGATTCAAACGCATTATTGATTTTACGTGGCAGTTAATTCTATCTATATTATTAGTTAGAATCCACATTTCCGTAACAAACCGCTACCATCAGCGCTAAAATGGTGAAAATCAAATAGGCACAAAATACCAGGTCTAATAGCCAGTTGATTCAAAGAGGTCCATATCTGAATATCCTCAAAACATCAAACTTTTCAAAATAACCGATGGTTGCTGAGACCGAAAAACGTTTAAAATACATTGTTATTTCTGTTTTGACAAAGGCAATAACAGGGATAACAATATGTTTTATACAGAAATTTTGGTCTTAAAAGCCAACGGTCAGAGAAGGTTATAGAAGACATTTCCTAATTACCTGTTCTGTCGATAACATTGAACATAATCTTGCAGAGATACTGCAAGTATAGAGGCAGGTCAGTAAATCTTTTCATGTCACTAAGATAAAGCGCCCAGCGTGCCAGCCAGCCTTCTAATGTGGTCCTGCCCGGAAACCCCCCCGCCTCTGGACCGCACACCCTCTTGTAGTACGGTAAGTCGCTCCATCTGTTATATTTAACTATAATTAAATTCGTGGATTCTTGTGGATATCAAACACTGTATCATATGGTGCGTAAAAGGTTAATGAAGGTTTTAGTTAAAAAAATTAAGCTAAGTAAGAATGTATTATTTTAAAGTAAACCAAGCCATATAATAAAAGGAAATAACAGATTTAAAAATATAGATTTTTTCAGTTAATTTTTGATCATTAATTTAACTTAATTCTCTTATGTATTATCGGGTTCTTCTTTATCTCATCCAAATTGTGTTGAGCGTAATTATTATACTAATAATCTTTTTTATTTTTATTCAAAAAAATATTAAAAACTAAAACTTACTTAGTAGGCAAAGGGTTGATAAAATGTTCGATAAATTCTTGCTTCACTTCGAGTAGTATGTGGAATTCGGAGGAGTTGTTTGACCAATCGGCGAAATGTGCTAGTTTCTGAAAATTACAGAAATAATTCTGGTTGTCTCCTTCAAGACATCCAAAAGCATACACTACAAAATAATTGACCAAATACGATGTAACAAACTTTTGATCATAATTATAATTAGCTCAATAAATTGAATGATACCATTCATGGTAGACCTTCTATTAGTATTATCATCAGCTCATTAGAATCCGAGCCCCTCAGTGGGGATATACATCCCCACTGAGGGGCTCGGATTCTACCCTAAGTTAGGGTTAACTAGGTAAAAATATTTTATTTTTGTTTATGGAGTGTTTCATATTTTAATAGTACCTTCAAGATTTCTTAATAATAATAATATGAATATTTCAATTAGAAAAACTTCATCTCACCTCAAAGAAATTATCAAAGTCCTGATCGCAGATGACGTCATCGCGGTCATGGTCCAGCAGTTCAGTAAAGAACAGCGTCAGTTTGTCCGACTGGACAGCTCCGAGTTGTGCTAGAGGCTGTTCTTCATCCAGGTCCAGGCATTCCAGACTATCGCTGCACCGATTCACCCACGTCGCTGTTATGATAACGTTTAACTTTTACAAGCAGTCAATTTTTAGGGTTCCGTACCTCATAGGCAAGAAACGGAACCCTTATCAGGATCACTTTGTTAAGGTTCAAATAGATTTAATCTGGAACCTTAGGAACAACGCTCGGCAGTCGCGCCAAAGCGACACTAACATATAAGAATACAATACTATACGACACTATGATTCTGTCTTAAGTCTACACTAGCTGTCGTCCGCGACTCACAAAAAAACTTTACAAATAGCCAATATGTTTTTCCAGACTATGTTTTATATCTGTGTCAATTTACATCAAGATCCCTGCAGCTTATTTGGAGATACTTTCAAATAAACATCCATCCATTTATCTAAACATTCGCATTTATAATATTAGTAAGATTAATAAGATGAAAATTAACTTTTACAACATTCACACAACTTCGTGCGTTGCTGTTGTCATGGTTACTTTCTTACTGTGAAATATCAGTTTCAAGGACATACCATTAAACATTGTCTCTATGTTCTTAATGAAAGATGAGTGGGATAAGTAATTTTTTTCAAGAAGACAAGAGAAGTAGACGTCAACAACATGCAATACCATAGCCACACAGAAGACTGGTCAAAAGTGGAAGAAATTCGGCGTTTCGCCTGATCCGCGTACTTTCCGGAGGACTATTTTTAGTCCTCTTTACTTATAAGAAAAGGGTTGAAAGGAGTAAAAGAACTACCTCATATATTTCCCTTAGGTAACGAGTAACCATGATTTGCCAAATACCAGTCCCACTCACCCTGATGCCGGGCCCGCGATGGGCTCGATACTAGTCGGTGCCGCCACCGGACGAATATACGTGTTTTAGTCGTTTTTATATAAGTTTATTAAAATGTGTCATGAAAGTTTGAATAATTTAATTACCATTTGCATTGATATTTTGCTCAACAAAATCAATGATAAATAAATAAATAAAGAATGTTTTAGACCAGAGATGTTATTGTAATAATAAGTTAAGTTGTATTAAAAACAATACGAAACTGTGTATTTCTATCATTAGGTTGCGTGAGGTTTTATTGCGTGGGAAATAAAGCTGCTACTTTATTATATAGCTTATTATTATACATCGTAAAACTACACAAAGTAGTGAATAGCGTGTTATGAATATACGACGAATGTAAAATTAATAAAACCACATCCCTGTTGTAAAGGTAAAAATAAGCGTTTACGGTTTTCAGTTTCAATAATTGCCACGATTTTTTAACTTGACTATTATTCAAATCCATCTTTATATATAAAAGAAAGTCGTGTTAGTTACACTATTTATAACTAAAAACGGCTTTACCGATATGCCTGGAAATTGATGAGGAGGTAGCTTAGATCCTGAAGACGGACATAGGATACTATTTATTCATTTTTTTATTTTTATTTTTTGAATTTATGCCTTGAAGAGCTGCTTTTTATTTAACTTACTAATATTATAAATGCAAATGTTTAGATGGATGTGATGTGGATGGTTTGATGGGTGTTTGGAGATATCTTTAGAACGGCTGAACGGATCTCGATTAAATTTGGCATACGTATAGAACATAGTCTGAAAGAACACATAGGCTACTCTAATTAAGTTTTTGTTATATATCCAAGCGGACGGAGGCACGGGCGACAGCAAGTACTAATAATTATAGTGGTACACCAGTTATTTATAGAGACTTGTGTTCACCCGCGTCATCGTCAGCGCATAAAAGTAGCTTATAATATATCTCGTATCCAGCTACCTTCCCCACAAAATCCTGTCAAAATATTTCCAGCCATTCCGATGATTGATCCGGAACAAAAATACAGATATACAGACAACAAATTTAACAATTTGTCTTTTGTAACCAGTCACGTAAATAAATAATGTGTACGATTCTTTTTTCGATATTACGTACAAACTTTCTAATTTTTTATATGTATAGTTGTGTACATTAACTCTCTGTCACATTTCGTTGTGCATCTTCGAAAATAGAAAACTAATAGTTTAAAAGAGAGAAACTAATCACATAAGATACAACAATAAGAACACTTATAAATTGCAAATCGAAAGAGTTATGGCTCTATTCTATTCCTCAACAAAGATTAAACTGATATAAAAACGGCTAAACACTCACATATATTCGTCCGGTGGCGGCACCGACTAGTTTCACTGACAGCGAGCGACGGGCCGCGTCCGCGAAATAACCAGTACCACTCATCCTGATGAAGGGCCCCCGACGGACTCGAAAAGTGAGCGTTTAGTCGTTTTTATATCACTTTAGTATAATGTCTCACGAAAGTTTGATTAATTTAATCAACAAAGATTGACAAATATTGTCATATATAAATTTTTGTCCAATTTAAAAAGTTATTTGGATAGAACGTATGAAAGATTTTGTTTATATTTTTCAATTCAAAGTAATCTTTTTCATATTTTTTATAAGTTCAAGGTTATCGTTGCGTAAATAAAGTCGAAACAATTCACCAGCAGCCGTTGAAACGGAGCCAATTGCAGTGATGTTTCGTTCTATTATTTTTTAGTTTCAAACGGAATAATGGAACTGAACCTAGAATCGAAAACGTTCATAGCAATGAATATTAAAAAAAAAACTCTTTGTTTTCTCTCATCGATGGACTTTGATGAAATTTCAATTCAAGCTTTTTGTCCTTGTGTAAAAAAGGTTATTTTTTACTTTCATTTTAAACGACATTAAAAATTAGGTTGTAAAATCAAAACTTTAGTTGAGTTGTAGACAACTAGTTGTAATTAAAAAAATAATAATAGCCTATGTGTTCTTCCAGATTATATTCTATATCATTTTGAAATTTCAGTCTGATCCATGCAAGAGTTTAGGATATATCTTCTAATAAACATCCATGCAAACATTCGTATTTATAAGATTAGTAACACACATTATACTTTGATATAAAAATCCTTGCAATTTCTTTGTCACACCATCGTGTTTTGACAATATGTTAAGTTATTTGACAGTTGTTTAATAATTACTTCTATCCAAAGTTCCTAGGGAAATTAAAGCACAATATTTACAGATTATAGACTGTTCATTCTGAAAGAATCTTTCTCTTTACTAGATTTATATTATCAAAATTGATTCGCTACGTGTAGATACAAAAATTTTGATTTGTCTAACATAGTTGCGAATGAAAAGTAAGTATATAAATATAAAATAATATTTAATTAATCAATTCTACAACAAATATCACTTTCTTATTAACCGCTAAGTTGTATAGTTGTAAATAGTTTACGTTTGAGTCTTAACTGGAATCTGTTTGCTTTTCTTTGTTTTTGAAGATTTCTTTCGTTGCTTTTTCGCTTTCATAACAACTCCCTGGTCTTGGGAATTCAGATTTCGCGTCACCATTTTCTTGTAATTGTAAAAACCTTCCTCTTTGACGTTACTGTTTCGTGTTCTTTTGATGTTGTCAGTAGACACTGACGCGATCACCTCTTCCTTTATTTTAGAATCATCTTCCTTAGTAAGTACCTCATTTTCTTTTTCTTTCCTCTTTTTAGTTGTTTTGTTCATTATTTCAATTGTACAACCGCCTATTGCAATCTCTTGGGCGATTTAAAAATACGCATGATCAGTGCCCACGAGATTTATGAAAACGTAATTTGACAGCGTCATTTCAATGTAACTTTGCCTTTCTTTTTAATTTTGTCGATGTGTCTTAAAATATTTATAATCTTTTATTTATTGTTATAGATTAGATCTTTCAAAACTGTGTAGAATTTTAATTTTTCAACCTTAGTTTCATATCGACAAAAATTATAAGTGTATAGCGTAGTGAACGACTTAAGATTTTTTTGTATACACGTTAAACATTTTTACCTTTTTAACAATACAATTTTTTTGCGTACTGTAGTATAACAAAAACCAAAGTTTGGATAGATGGACGCCTCTTACTAGGTATCTCCAGAACGGCTGTCTCTCGCTGAAATTTCATATAGATATAGAACATAGTGTGGAAGAACGTATAGTTTACAATTTTTTTTAATTCCGTACGGATCGAGTCGTGGCGACAGCTAGTCAGCAAATAAATATAGGTTATTACCGTAGTCAATATTAGATATTCTGCATTTAACAATTAATATATAAAGAGGAATTGAGTAGAGAAGCACTCAAGCGACACTTGGTTGAAAATTATACTTTATATTTTGTGACAGGTTTATGAAAGCAAGGGAGTCGGCACTCCCGACTTTAGACAGACGCTTTGAATATTATATGAGGGTAGATGTTAACTTTAATGTGGCCGAAGTGGAAGTGTAATCTTGTGAATAATTTATAAGATATCACGCGAGCAACTATTTCAGTTTTAATTTTACCAAAACACTGACGTTTTCATTTTACATTATTGTTTAGGATTACAAGTTTTTTTTAATATTAGGTTTAGATTGTCTATTAAATGATAAGGTATCCCAACGTGTGTTTTTGAGACTAAAATTCTCGTTTAAAAATATTGTTATTCCTGTTTTGTCAAGGATAATGACGGGGATGACGATATGTTTTATACAGTGATTTGGTATCATGGCTATTAGCATAAATTCTAGAAGCAATTGATCGATCTTACTAATCTTACTTTACTTCTTATGAATCTTCGAATATTATAAATGCTAATGCTTGGATGCATGGATGTTTGTTACTAAATATCTAGTCTAGCAGATCACATAGGCCCAGAAATGCATGCATTTCCGTGGATACGATTGATTAAAATATTGACTGTATACTTCAGCAAGGGTTCGATATATAATAGAACGTATTCTCAAATAACACATAGTAACAATCATCGTGTTTTTTTAATTCCATGCGGAGAGTCCGGGCAAAAGCTACGCATTATAAAAGGTAATTTGTTAAAATATTTTATGTCACTCACCGAATACCATTGTCGTGTTATAATTAATAATTTCAAAAACAACCACACACGACCGCTGACTATCGATTAATGATTGTTTCAATTCACTGCAATGACTACTAATATAAACTCTAAGGGTGGGTTTCCACTGCCAACAAAATTGAATTAAAATATATTTGTATCTCTTTTATACTCTTTGAATAAGTAGAGACAGCAACATGTATCAGTCACGTCCGTCGCATGGTAACATTATCTTGAGACATAAACAAATGACGTATGAATTTGAGAATTATATCACCAAATATTTATCATAACAACCACGCCTCAGCACGAAACATACGTAATGTTTGTTCAGTGCTTCAACAAATACTTGTTTTTCACAATTTGCAATTCAATTTAGATGATAAAAACTCGTTATTTATGGTATAGATAAATTTTGTGTACTATAGTTGCTATAATTTAAAGACGTCGGACAAGCAATGCCTTTATTGCAAACGTTTGCTTTGCATCTTAATTGAATAAATATTAGGCTTTATTTGTTTTAAGGAAACAAGGTTTACATGTAATTTTATCAAAATACTTGCGTCTTCTTCTCCATTATTTCTTTTACCTCATTCCGTAGATCAAGAATTCTATTTTTTTTTAGTATTAAGTTATTCCCGCTAAAGTGCATGAATAGCATATTTTTTTTCATATCTAGATATGACGCTAACTTTTTCTAGACTGTGATCGTACCTGATGACATTGTGATATGACTTTCAAGTATTTTTATTTAGTTTATTTAATATATTAGCAAACCTAGAACTTATTTAACATTTAAATCTATGTATCTCGACTCAGATTTGCCTCAGCATTATTGTTTACCAATAAAATGTATAGTTTTCTCGCTTAGTATTATTTAGATTATATTTTCTTTCTCTTTCATGTAACAAAATACGTCTAAATGTGACGTGTCCTTGAAATACGCTAAGGATGGAAATGAAGAATAGCACTTCTTAAAACTCCTATATAGTTGCTAAATATTTTAACAATATCAAACAAGCGTTGTTAGTCCTGATAAACAAGACTTTATCAAATATTATATTTGATAAAATTATCATGACTTATTACGTGATTCGGGGGCGTGATTTATTTTTATTTTCAATAACGAAATCAGCAAAGATTACAATCGTCATACGGAATAAACATTTACACCTGACTCTATAATTCGCGTTTACTTATTTATATTTATAAATAGCCGTCGCTCGTGAGTATATAAAAACTTAATTAGTGTAGTCCACCCAACCATCCATCTAAACATTAGCATTTATAATATTAGTAATTAAAATAAAAAGCAGCTCTTCAACGCATAAATTCGAAAAAAAAATTAATAAATAGTATCCTATGTCTGTCTCTATGCTCTAAACTACCTCCTCACCTATTTTCATCCATTTCGGTAAAGCCGTTCTTGAGTTATAAATAGTGTAACTAACACGACTATCTTTTGTACATAGATATAAAGATTACGATTACTACTATACTAAACATTTTTAATCAAATTATAGTCAAACAAGGATGTCTGAATCGGTTAGAGAGGTGCTGCTATCGCGGTTGGCTCTCTCAAACTATACAGCGTGTCCGGAAAAGCTGTGTTCAACAGACTACCATAGATTCTTGTAGTCAATTGTACACGCTTTTCCCGGACATCCTATATATTAAACACACGCACCGTTGGTATTTGAGACAAAAACCTCTGTATAAAACTTATCGTCATCCCTCTCATTATCTCTGACAAAACACAAATATATTTTAAATTAGAATTTTGATCTCAAAAACCCGCAAGTAGACATAGAGAATGAAAGAAAAAAATCGACAACTTTAGCTACAGCTCAAAGAGGATCTTGTATTCTAATCTTTATAAATAGATAGGTCTCTGCTTGGGAATTATCATTTTTGCTTTGTTCTGACATAAACGCGCCTTGACATTAATTCTAGTATTCGAGTTCTTACCAACTGGGACCTTAATTATTACCTACTTTATCAATTTTAATGGATTCCTTTAAATTAAAGTACTTACTCCAAACATGTACACTCCAGCCATGATGTTTATCTTCCTCACTATTACTTGGTTCCTGCATGTGTTCAGATGTTTCAGTTTCAGGCAACGTCCGCCATCGCTTTAGTAGTTCTTTGGTTTTGTCTTTGGTCTTATCGCACGCCTGCTTCCAGTTCGTAAAATACTTTCTTGATACTTTCGGTGATAGTGATTTTGATTCTTGTCTGTAAAATTTTTGATAAATTGTAGAAATTGTCAGTTCATTAAGTTTCATAAATTTAACATCAGCGATTGTTGATTAAATTATGAGTTTTTTTTTTAAAAGTACATTTTTTTTTCTGTCAGATTATAATTTGTGTACTTTTAAGAGATGAGTGCAAACTTAAAGTTAATTAAAAATGTATAAAAGTAATTAGAATTCATAATTAAATTATACACTAAGCGTTAAAATTGTGTGAATCGAATTAACTAACATTAATATAGCAGTTGTATTTAACATAGTTATAACAAGAGTATGAAGTAAACTTTATCAAGTTAAACATGAACCAGTGGACTAATTAAAGCGCTCGAGTTCTCACAAGAAAATCTGCGAGCCTGTTACACTATGTGCTTATTTGTTATGCACTTTGAAGTAAGCAACAGCGTACAGTAATATTAAAAGTAGTTAAAAATTATTTTTATCACTATTAGGGATACAAGATACGACTCATTAAAACTTACTTACTGTATAAGACAGAGAGAATGAGAACGAGAGAGAGAGAGAGAGAGAGACTGGCTCTCTATTTTTCTCACACTCTTCCTCATCCGCATTTCAGAAGGTCGCGACCACTTTTATGATCTTTTTTATATTCAATAAGCCAACGCTTGACCACGATGCCACCTGATGTTAAGTATGGTCCAAAGAAGATGACGCACTCTATGACAATTCTCTACTACTACTGTTTCGACAATAACAATGTGCAGTTCGTACAGCAATGGAGTTCTACGGTTAAATCGATGTTAATTATGTATAGACTAGTTTGGTTCTATTCAATTTCCTTTCAGGTGTAAGGTACAGTTGCAATCGGATGAAGCTGACGCAGACAGCTTGTTCCAATCCTTTGTTGTACAAACGGAAATTGAAATTGCGTTCGAACGTGAGATACATTCACAATAGGACACAGTCTGTGTGGTACAAGTTTAGGCTAAGTCTACACTAAATTGTTTGACTTTACAAAGGACGTTATGAAGTAATTCAAAGATTTTTAAACTAAACGACTAGTTTCGAAACTGTCACGTAGGTTAAAGACTGGGAATTTTTCGCAGTAGTATTAAGTTCGTCATCTTATATCCAAACCATGTTCAGTGAATGCTGTGTACGCCTGTCATCTGTATGTTCCTCTGTTTCGACTATCTTTGTGTTATTTGTATACGCTCGTGCTTGTTGAACATGCAATTGATGTACCTTTTTAATAAATAAATAAATTTCTCATGAGAGAAGAGCCCTGACAAAGAGTCCCAGAAGGGCTCGAAACTAGTCGGAGCTGACACCAGATTAAGTGCGTAAGTGTAGCTGTTTTATTTAGTATACAACAATCTCTCTCGAAAGTTCAAATAATCTATATTTATAAAAGAAAGTCGTGTTAGTTACACTATTTATAACTCAAGAACGGCTTTACTGATATGACTGAAAATTGGTGAGGAGGTAGCTTAGAGCCAGGAGACGGACATAAGATACTATTTTTTTTTATATCCACGCGGACGGAGTCGCGTGCGACAGCTAGTTTAATATATATTTTTGATTTCTTCGCGATGTTTTCTATAACCGTAAAAACCTTGAACGTTTTACGGTATGATTTATAACTCTTAACATTCGATTTTTGTACTTGAAATGTAATCAATCATAAGCCAAGAACTGAACTAAATGTAAATTTTTCATTCTCATCGTTGATTGACAAAAAATACTTAAAACATTTACTTTACAAAAAATAATTACTATCTATCTATATATTTATTTCTTAATAATATAACTAATACCAAGAACAATATCATTAACCTAATTATAGATTAAAATATAATCTTACTAAATAACTAACCACAACAAAATAAATCAATTAATTAATACTATATTAAATAAACTATATACTAAAACTAAACCAAACTAAATAATATAAAAAATCGATCCCAAATAGCTGCGGTCGCACGGTAGGGTTCCCAAGATGCTGGCGGCATTTCCCCGTTGGATGGCCAGGCTCAACCTTTGCCCGAAATGCGCGCCAGCCCAACCAATAATAACTAATTACAAATCGTGATAAATTAATATACTTCATCTATTTATTTATTCTGTATAAGTAGCAATGCTTTATTGTAACACTACACAATTATGTAGAAGATTTCGCTCCTGAACAATGGCTGAGCTCTTTGTTTAGGGAGCAAATTAAAAAATATATCCACATAGAAATAGAAAAACCCATAATCTGTATGAATAATGTTAATCAATGTATTATAAGATAAAATATGAATTATGATTTAAGAGATATCGAATGATATAATCGAAGTTAAAAGAGAATCAACTAATTCATAATACAGAAGAATTATTTATTGAGACAAAAAATTCCGAGTTTTTAAAATTTCTGAAATAATTTTACGTGTGTACTAGATTTAAACATTTTATTCAACAAATTCAAGTTGCTTTCGTTGTTTAGTTACTGTTTGTTTTCAAAGGAAGTATCTACAAACATTGCAGTGAATATTTTCACCGAAACTCAGTGCAGTTTTCCTTTGACTTTGTCGTGTAATTAAAATATCTCATTTGCTTTAGAGAATATTTACTATTAACTTAAATACTACAACTTTTATTACGCTTTCGTCGTACTTGCAAATTAATTTGTAGGTTAGGAATATTTTCTATACGAATATCATAAAACGGAAAGATTTGTATTTTGTATCTTTGTATGTAAAGTTTTAACTCGAAAACTATTGAACCGTTTTCAAAAACACTTTTTCAATTAGAAAGAGGAATTGGAATTGCTACATGAATACTTTCAGTACTAGCTGTCGCCCGCGACTACGCGCGGGACTAAAAAAGGTTCCTAAAGGGTTTCCCCAGCAATCATACGAATTTTTCTCACCTTTTAAACCTTACCTAGACCTCCACGAATATTTCAAGACCAAGATAAGGTAAATCCGTTCAGCCGTTCTCGAGTTTTAGCGAGACTAACGAACAACAATTGATTTTTATGTATATAACTAGCGGACCCGACAGACGTTGTCCTGTCTACACGTCTTTAATCTGAATAAATTAATATGAAGTTAATATTTGATGAAAATTGTGAATCTAAACCTTTCCCAGATCCCCTTGAACACACACAAAACATTTCATCAAAATCGGTCCAGTCGTTTGCGAGAAGTTCAGTGACATACACACGCACAGAAGAATTATATATATAAAGAAAGATAGATAAAAAAATCATGGAAGTGAGTATTTTAACGACTAAAATAAAGTTTTGGAGAGATCTTGCTGAGCTATACCAAAACTTTGAGTACTTCTCAAGGTGTTCAATTAAAATTTACCTGATAAATTGGTACAGAGTTTTTGTGAGTTTAAAAACTTTAGTTATCGCTAAGTAAGAATATTGTCTTTGATCAAAAAACCTTGTAAAAATGATTGAAAAAGTTTTATTACTTTACCGTTTCTATTAACTTGTCCCCGATTTCTGAAAGTTTGTACAATATCCTTGGAATTTACTTTGGTGAATGGATTTTTCACGAATTTAATGTACTCATTGTTTACTTTGTTAAACTATTTATTATAACTACAACTTGTCACGTTTCGGTCTAGATTTTTTGCAACATAAATTTAACGCAAAGTCAAAAGAAAATCTAAGTATCAATATTATATTGTAGCTTCAAAATTAACATTTTACAATATTCTTTTGAGTGGAATTAGTATTAATAGAAATATTTATTTAATTTCTTTCATAGAAAATGAACTAAGTATTGAAATTTGAGTCAAAAACTGGTTTTTACCAGTTCCTTAGGTTAGTTTTTTTCTAATACATTGATACCAATGGTGATCCCAACAAATTCTCTTTTAAGTGAATATTAAATCTTACAATGGCTACTGTAGTAATGCGATTTTCATTACCTTTCTAACGTATCTTTAGAGCTCTCGCTAGCTCTAGACGGTCGTCTCTCTCTCCTGCCTGCATCCTCACTGGGTGACTTCTCCGGCAGACGCAAATCTCTCTCCGATTTGCTATTCGACCGGGAAGTCTTCCCGTCGTCGTCTCTCCTCAGTCCTTTCACCGGCGACAAGCTTCCAGGTTTCTCTTGTTTCTTCACCTCCATTTTAACGCGTGTGACGTCATAGTTGTTGTATTACTGGAACAATTAATGCTTTTTAATTTAAAATACTAGGAACAGGTGAAGTAAGTCCAAATAATCTATGTCCTGGCGATGTAGGTCGGTTGCTACGAAACGAGAAATTCTAGTTAAACATTAAACAGCATTGTGCGGCCACGCTTTGTACCACTCAAAGCTTATGCGTACAGTTAATTAAATAATATTTTACGCTCCACTTTTCTGTCATATTTCAACTGTTATGGCTTTAAAAAATAACTATAAAAACTGTGAAGTATGAAGAATTAGTGTTAGTAATAAGTATTAGTATTATATGAGAATTTCGTTTGATAAGCATTAGTTTATGTTGGTTAAGTTGTTTAAAGTTGTAAATTTTTAAAAACCATCAACCCACCTGATGTAAAGTTTTATGTGGTCGAACGATGACACATGAAATAAAGACGACGGAAAATGCAAGGATGGAAAGAGCGTTAGGATTAAGATTAATTTTGGAATATTATGTTATATAATAAAAAGATAAAATGAAAATATTAAATCGAATTATTACAAATAAAGAGAAAAGCACGCACTATTATAGAATATAATTACAACAACTCGATCTAGCTAAATTAGGCTGCTTTTAGTATTTTCAGCGCTGACAATCAAAATGTATTAACTTCTAGGAAGCACCTGCGCTGTTAGCTGCGCGTTATTCCAGAACGCATCTTATAAAAAAACGTTTTGGCTGCCGGCGTTGAGGATCAGCGTAACTTTTAAATCAGCCTCAATCCCTACTCATTCAACTTTGTAAAACTAATAACTGGATTGAAACAGAAATTAGGAAATACTTACTTCTTGCAGGAAAATGATACTTATAGGTTTAAATATTCGTGATATCAATAAAGAGAAATATATATTATACAATATTGTAGTTTTAAGTGTGTATGAAGGGAAGAGTTTAGAGTTTACTTCGTGAATATTTGACGTTGTTTGCGACTGACGCGATGACGTGCTATAAAGGGACGTTGCTTTCACGCGGGTGTTTTGTTTTATAAATATAAACAAGCTGTCGCCTGCGATTTTGTTCGCGCTGAATTAAAATAAAAAACTTAATTAGTAGCCTATGTATTCCAGACTATTGTATTCTATTATAGTATGTTAAATATCATCAAGATTTATTAAACCGTTGCAGAATTATCGAGTAAATATGTTTAAACAAATTACACGTATCCCACGGGGAACTCTATTTCCGGGATCAAATCCTATATGTTTTTTCAAACTATGCTCTACCGTAGCCGTTCTGGAGATACCTTCAAACAAACATCCATCCATTTAAACATTCGCATTTATAATATTAGTAAGAATATATTAGACCTAGATGCTTTGAGTGTTTTCCATTGGACAAAATAAATAATCCAAAAAGCAAATAACTATATTCCTAATGGTTCAGATAAAAATCTCAATTAATTATAACAGCTATTTGAATTTAAATGATGTAAAAAGTTTTCTACATTTATATTATACTTAACTGTTAATTTATTCCTTTAAACTTCAGCTTTTTGGAAGAAGGACATGAAATAATTGGGTGCTACGTAAAACAATTTAAAAGGTAATTAAGTGCTGTAATTAAAAATAAACTTTGCGTATTAATTTTTCAAGCATTTTTTTTAGCTTTGGAAAAAATAGACAAAGTCTATCTTGTTGTGAGCCCTTATCTACTTGCTAGTGCTTAACAATTTAACATGGATGTATATGGTTTCCCCCTCCTAGGCTACAAAAGTCGTTAGCGCTGTAACTAAGGGCTCTTTATTACTAACTATATTCTTTTTATGAAAAATTCCTACGTAGAACAGACAATACGTATGCACATTTAGAAAAAAAATTTTGAACCTTTAGATTTAGATTTTTTTGAAGATATTATAAATGCGAATGTTTAGTTGGATGAATGGATGTTTGTAAGAAGATACCTACAGAACTGCTGCATGGATCTTGCTGAAATTTAGCATAGATGTAGAACACATAAGCTACTATTTTTTTTAATTCCGCGCGGATGGAGTCGCGGTCGACAGCTAATATTCCACAACTTAACAGCCAGATTATTTTAAAAGGTCTATAATAATAATAAAAAAAATATTAAATTAGACGAGACTTAAAAAAAATACGCGCTACCGTGTTCTATAATTAATTTAGAATAAATTCAGTGTGTATACGATTAGATTATACCCTGGGGGCGAGCTAATTATTGTCACTTACGTCACAAACCCGCGGCTTACGCGGGTTCAGCGTAATCTAGGTCATCTGGGGGCTTACAGGAATTGTAGGTGAAAATAAGTGATTAACACCAATATTATCTAGATTTATATATCTTTATAATATGTAAAGTAAATCTAAACAACTCTAACAATATTGTAAGGTACAATAAAACTATCTTAGTATTTAACTAATATTATAAATGCGAATGTTTGAATGAATTGATGTTTGTTAAAAAACGGCTCTATAGATCACGCTGAAATTTGACATAGATGTAGAACATACCCTGGAAGAACACAAAGGCTACTAATTAAGTTTTCTAAATTCCACGATTTCAGGTGGCCGCTCGTTCGTTTGCCACCTTATGATATAAACAAAAATACGAATCGAATAACGCCTCACTGGTCAAAATCGGTTTATTAGTTTAAGCTTCAGGATGTCATATACAAGCCTGCATCCATTAAAACATAATTAAGTACGTGCGAAAATGGCTCATTTGTAAAAACGGAACAACATAAAAACCAAATAATATTTTATACGTAAAATACTGAAAAGGTAGAAACATTTCCGCATTATTAAGTTCATTTTATTTTTCTTTGTATCTCGTATAATGAATACGAACGTTTATGAACTGAATAATTTGTTATTATCGTGTGAATTCATGTAAAAAAAATTCCTTGAATTATATTTATACTGTACCGAAGTTTTTTAGCTCAATAATTAACATAATGTTCATTGGTTTTTATTACATTTATTGTTTTGTTTAATAAAATAAAGGCAATATGTATATTTAACGTTTAAGTTAATACAGCAAACTAAGATTTTTATCAAGTGAACATTATTTTTTTAATAACTGTAAAATCAATCTCAAAAAAGAATATTCTAGGGTTATGAAATCCTGAACCTGTATTGCACGGTGTCGTCTTCGAGGAGCGCCTACGGGTGCAGCGCCCCATTGGAGGCGTACTGAGGGGCTTTCTCGGGCTGGTCAGCGGGGCGTCGCAGTCGTAAGTTTATAACGCTCCTGTCACTTCCCACATGTTATGGCTAAGAAGGAACAGAGGGGTTTAGTGGATATGCTCCCATTCGGGAAGAGAATCCCACATAACTACCGTGCCTTCACCAAGGCAGGGAGTATGCCTAAAGCATTCCCCTCTGGAGAAAAAAAGTTATGAAAGGTCCATGTCCATTAAAATAGACTTGCTGTATAACCCCGATAATACAGTTAGAACACTGTTTAGTAATCTCGTGTTTTAACCCTTTGAACGCCTTTAATTGGTTTAATGAATCCACGAGTAATCCACGGTAGATCGTTGTTCATTTGTTTTAGACATATTGTCATCCTCCCACATTCCCTTTAAAATGGCAGAGACAACAATCAGTTTAACAGTTGTTGTCACGTTGCATTGTGTTGGAGGAAAAAAGGTCGAGAGGTTGTAGCGACACCTAGCGACATCGTGTTGAAAGCATGAAATATGAAATGAACTGCATAACATTTTTCTTTTCCGCATTTTTATTGCACCAAAGAGAATTCATGCCAGCATTTTATTGTTGTAGGAATAATTTAATTATTAATTTTTACATTAATAAACACAACCTTTGTACGTTACTATTTAAACTTTTAAAATAGCGTTGATTATCATAAGTTGTCATAAATATCGATAGTCTAGCCGTCGACCGCGACTCTGTCTGCGCGGAATTAAAAATAACTTATTAAGTAGCCTATGTGTTTTACATCTATGTCATATTCTAGCAAGCTCCATGCAGCCGTTCTGGAGACACCTTCAAATCAATCCATCCATCTCAACTTTTGCTTTTATAATATTAGTAAGATTTGACAGCTGTCAGTGCAATATTATATATGTCAAATAATAAATCTTTAATCGTTGTAAATATCGATGCGAGGTTTTTTCTTTAAACTATTTCCTTAGATTTATAATCTTTTTGGTTAGTTTTTAAACCAAAACACAATATGAAAGTAGAACAAAATATAAATAAGTTATGAGCTTACGTTAGTAAAATAAGACATGTGAGGAGTGGGCAGTGTCCTTACATTCAGCTCACCAGTATCAATATTCTATGAGCGAGGGGTCAGGTGTGTGACCTACATTAACACCCCCGATATTAGGCCAACTCGACCGCGTTGTAACCGAATCTCTTTTTTTAATTTGTTGTACATATTCTTTAAAGCTTCGATTTCATCTTAATAATATTATGCATGCGAATGTTTGGATGGATTAAGAGATGTTTGTTTGAAGGTATCTTCGGAACAGCTCAACGGATCTTGATGAAATATTTCGGTCTTAATTTTCAAGATTTTAACGCTTGTTTAAACATAGTAATAGTTAAACGCTAAACCGCTTAAGATATATTTTAATAACGGTTGCTTTCGAAGACCATAATCTCTATATAAAACACTAGCTGTCGTCCGCCACTCCGTCCGCGCGAATTTAAAAAAACATAATTAGTAGCCTATGTGTTCTTACAGACTGTGTTTTATATATATGCCAAATTTCATCGACATCCGTTCTGCTGTTTTGGAGATACCTTCAAACAAACATCCATCCATCCATCAATCTAAACATTCGCATTTATATTATTAGTAAGATATCGTCAACCCTATTATCTTTAACAGATATTTTGGTCTCAGAATTATATATATACATATAATTCATGTTGTAAGAGAAATTAGTACACAAATTGATTTAACAACATGACACGACCTGAATGTGGGTCAGATGCTTGACCTGTCATTATCAGCTGTGTCTATTGTCTCTTGTAAA